ACTGGGGCTGTATCACGCGTGGGGTGCGCGAGCGGTGGGGAATACTCGCAAAGAATGCAATAACAAATGTTGTTTCAGCTCTTCAATTTACTTATCTGCCTAACGTGAATGACAGACAGCTCTGGCTAATCATTGTTGCTATAGGAACTTCTAAAAACATTGCTTACCTACGAAGTGCCACAATGGTGATGTTTTAGCATGCACACACAAAAACAACGTAAAAACTGGTCTGGCTTGACCGAGCTAGCAACAGTATCCAAGGAAGGGGCATGGGTAGGTCTATTTACACGACACGTACGTCCAAAACGCACCGTGTATGACAATGCAAACGCAATGTCGGAAGAAATTAGAACATCCGTGACGTCCTGTGGCTGTGCATCCGATATCGCAAGGTCTTATATCATAAAATCGTGTCGTACCGCATAGTTTACACGGTGCGTTTTGGACGTACGTTTAGGACGCATCGTGTAAATAGGCCTTTAGGCGGCTAGTTCATTTGTCATGAATAACATTGTTTTATGATCTTATTAGTGCATTGATACATTTATATATATATGTTATTTTATTACTAAAATCTATTATGTGCACGTTCCTGGGTTCGTGTTTTATTAAAAGGCTACGAGTAAATAGCAATTTACAAAGGATCATCACTTGCCTGCATCCATAGAAGCTGTGGCTTTACAGTGGGGAATATAGGACGTCTTGCTATGCACAAATGAATTTATCAGCAGAACACCAGACACCAGAGCCCTGTCGCTCTGCGGCACTTGTTGTGTAAACCTAGGCTCAAAAACTCCAGTACTTACATTTCTGCAACTGCAGTTGACTGGCTGGTGTATTTATAGTACGCACATGCCCGGTATCTTTGTACGAACTGACCACTGACAAGTGCCACCTTTTAACGATCAGTAACGCAGAGTTCCCGTTTCTGATCCGCCTGGCTACCACGTATGTTTCGCTGTCTCTGAATGGACACGCGAGCGTACTACTTGAATTACAGGCGTGCGCGGGCCAGCGCTAAATTTCGTCCGTAGATGTCAACAGCACAGAATCCAGTTGAGGGGAGCCTGGAGGTGTAAAATTGAGAGGGCATTGGTAAAGGAAGGAATGCACCGTGGTGCATAACGGCCCGGGCGTTACTATTGTGAGCTGTCGGTGTGTTGATGTATCATGATCATACATGTAGCTATCTCGCCCTCCCCCTCTCTTCCTCGCCCTCTCCTTCCCCCTCTCTTCCTCGCCCTCTCCTTCCCCCTCTTCCCTCTCTCTCTCTCTATCCCCAAGTAAGCCTTCCTCCCTCTCTCTATCCCCAAGTAAGCCTTCCTCCCTCTCTCTTTGACTGCCTCACTCTCTCCATCCCCTCCGCACCTCTCTCTTTTCGCTCTCTCTCTTTTCGTTTCTCTCCCCCTCTCCACGCCACCCTCCCTTTATACCCCCGCTTTCTCTCCACTCCCCACTCTCTCTCCCCTCCCTCCCTCCCCGCCATCTCTTTCTCTGGCGTACTATTTCGGAATATAGATATTTACAAAGCAATTGCAGGAATTATATGTCTCGTTGTCAGTTCTGTGAGCGTACTGTACATCACATGCGCTTAGAAGTTCATACGCAGCGTTATTGACGTTTATTGTTGAAAAACTCGTTTAGTGAGATGTAATTTACCGAATCTTGTGTTGTCATAACACATCATTTTGGCCCAAGAAACCACTATTATTCTTCAGTGGCCTCTCTGCCGACGACCCAAAGCCCCCTGTGTACACACGCGAACGTGTGTGTACACGTGCACACGTCGGAGTGACGTTCTCGTTCGACAGTTCGCGCTGGGAACTCCGACACACACGCACACACACGCACATACAGACATGTACGCACGCACGCACGTCTGCACGGCAACGCACACACACACACATCACGCACTGCACGCGCGCCGCGCACACCGCCACACACACACACACAACACACACACCACACACACACACACACAGGCAAACACACACTGTATGTACACCACAACACGCATGCACTCACAACACAGACACAACGCACGCACAGCACGCTCAACACAAATACACACCACATCACAGCACACACACACACACACACACACACACACACACACAAAACACACACACACACACAAACACACACACAACACACACACACACACAACACACACCACACACACACACCAATCACACATCACCAAATGTATGATCACACAGACACACACGCACGCACGCGCACGCAATCACACACACACACACAACACAGCACACACACACAACACACACACACACACACACAAGCAGCGTTCTACTGCCATACGTGACATTGACAGGAGAGTGTGTTTTGGCGTGGCGGGTAATGAAGAGATACCAGCTACACGGCCATTGAGTGCAACTGCTCTGCAACCTGCCAGCTGCAGCCTCGCGTTACGAGAGCGGCC